GTGAGTTCGAGACCAGCCTGGGCTACATAGTGAGTTCCAGATCAGTCTCAACTACATAGTGAGACCCTGTTTCAAAAAACAAAAAACAAACAAACAAAAAAAAAGATACTTTTTTGTGGGGGGTGTACTGGGGATCGAACAACTCTGGCCCTTGCACTTGCGAGGTAGGCACTAGAACCAGAGCTAAATCCCCGACCCTAGAGCCCCAAATTTAAAGACACATCCAGAAATGGTCATCTAAAATGAACAGACACTCCTCAGATAAAGTACAAAAAGGAAATAAATATATGAAAAAAAGGTTAAGCATCACTGGTCATTCAAGAGATGCAAATTAACCAGGAGTGTAGTGCGTTTTCTGTGATATATGACATCTTTTAGGGTCCCCCATTTAAGGATAACCCCATCTGTTGAAAAAACATCATACTATTTTTCTTTTCCTGAAGGCTGTATACATTTTTTGGTCGATTCTATGTATATGTATCTGCATGTTATGTATATGTATATATGAGTGTATATAGGGTGTGACACTGTTCAGAGTTTCAGGCATTCACTGGGGATCTTTGAACGTATCCCTTTGAATAGAAGGGCTTCTGTACTGTATTGCTAATTTGTTGTACGGCAGAGCAACCAGTGGCAGAAAATGGTTGAAGGGTGGTAGTAGCAAGAACTACAAAACAGCATATGACCTGAGCATCTGAGCGAGGGCTGAAGAGTACAGCATACAGAACACTAGATTTACAATAGTTAACCCTAAACTGGAATCCCAGCTGTCCCTGAATAACAGCGTAATATGAAACAGAAAGGAAAATCTATGCACAGAACGGCAACATGAGAGGACGCAGTGAGAAGGCGGGTCATGAATGCAGATGCTGTGGTACTGTCGGAAGTTAAAACGGAGTCAGGTAAAGATAGTTTCACACAACAGGTATGTTTTGATAACATGTAAATTTATTCTGGAACAAATTAATCACTAAGGTTACAGGGGTTCTACAGAGAAAGACTATGTAATATCATTTTTTGATAAATACACACTTATGTGTTGAGTATGCTAGAAGTCATAAAAACCCATATACTGTATGAGGTTAAAATATACAAATATGACCAAAAATTTTGTTTGTATGTCATTTTATATTTTATTTATATATAAGTGGATTTTATGTTTTAGTTTTATAGATTTGTTTAAAGTATTACTGAGAGTTATCAAACTTAAAAGAACTAACATTAAAATTAACATTTTAATATTAAATGAAGTAAATGCCTAAATAAATGCTGGTATTTAAAAAGAGAGAGAGAAATGCAAATTGAAACAATGACTACCTCCCAAATGCAAGGTACTGAGTTTGATCCCTGATACCCAAAAAAATTAATAATAAATAAAACAATGCTGAGATTCCATCTCACTCCAGAAAGAACGGCTACTATCAAGAAATCAAACAAGGCCAGGGATTTAGCTCAATGGTTCCCCTGCCTGCCTCGCAAGCATGAATTTCTAAGTTCAATCCCCAGTACCCTCCATCCCCCAAAAAAATAAAAGAAAGAAATCAACCAATAGCAAATGCTGGAGGGGATGTGGGGGAACAGGAACCCTTCTCCACTGTTGGTGGGAGTGCCGACAGGTCCAATCACCCGGAAAATCAATGTGGAGATTCCCCAAAAAACTAACTTAAGGTTCCATTCAACCCAGCTATTTCCCTATTTGGTATCTTCCCGAAAGAATTAAGAGCATCATACTACAGTGATATACGCATACCCATGTTTATAGCGATACAGTTTGTATTAGCTAAATCTTAGAAACAGCCCAAATGCCCATCAACTGACCAGTGGATAAAGATGTGTTTTTCTAATATAATGGGGTACTACTCTGCTATAAAGAAGGATACATTTGGGGCTGGGGATGTAGCTCAGTGGTGCTGTGCCTGCCTGGCAAGTGCAAAGTCCTGAGTTCAATCCCCAGTACCGATGGGGCCAGCGATTTAGCTGTGGTTCCGCCCCTGCCTCGCAAGCTCAAGGACCCAAGATACCA